CTCCAAGCTCTGAGCTCTCAGCCTAGAGCCCGACGCAGGGCTCGAACCCACGAACCAGGAGATCATGACCTGAGCAGAAGTCAGCCGCTTAACTGACTGAGCCACCCAGGAGCCCCAAGTCTGTGCTTTCAATTCTTCTGTGTCTACTATGCTGAGAAGTGGCAGTTGAATCAAGTGGAATTGAAAAGATGGAATTGCTGGAGAAATGCTTAATTTTCTAATTTATCATTTCACTTATGTGATATATTTTAAAAAATCTTTTAGGGGTGCCTGGCTGACTCAGTTGGTGGAGTGTGTAACTCTTGATCTTGGGGGTGTAAGTTTGAGCCCCACATTGAGTGTAGAGGTTACTTAAAAATAAAATGTTAAAAAAATTAAAAAAATCTTTTCAAGAAATTCCTTTCCTATCACAAGGCGATAAAGATGTTCTTGTACATTGTGTTGTTTTGCCTTTCACACTAAATTCTGTAATGTACCTGGAATTAATCTTTGTGAATGATATGGACTATGTATTATTTTATATGGATACCCAATTATTCCAACACCATTTACTGAAATTTCAGTCCTTTCCCACTTTATGCAGTGCCAGATCTGTCACAAATCAAGTCTCTGTGTGTGGGATTGGTTTTTGGTCTCCCTGTGCTCACCTTGTTCAAAAATGTTCCCTTTGCTAAAATACAATATTAATGGGGTGCCAGGGTGGCTCAGTTGGTTAAGTGTCTGACTTCAGCTCAGGTCATGATCTCACGGTTCGTGGGTTCGAGCCCCACATCGGGCTCTGTGCTGACAGCTCAGAGCCTGGAGTCTGCTTCAGATTCTGTGCCTCTGTCTCTCTCTGCTCCTTCCCTCTCTCTCTGCTCCTTCCCTGCTTGCGCTGTCTCTCTCTCTCAGAAACAAAGAAAAAACATTAAAAAATTTAAAAAATATACAATATTAATTACAGTAGCTTATTAATAATTCTTGATATCTGGCAAGACATGTCTCCCAACTTTGTTGTTTTCAGGAGGATCTTTACTCTTTGTTTCTTTGCCCTTTCGTATCAATATTACAATATGTATCAATTTCCACACACATACAAAAACTTGTTGGGATATGGTCTGGAAATATACTGAATCTATAAATAATTTTTGAGGAGCACTAACATCTTTGCAGCATCCTTACAATATGTAAAGATGTACAGTCTTGTACAAATTGTTCAATCCATGAACATGGTATATTCCTTTATTTGACCACCTTTATTGTATTTCAATAAGGTTTTTTATTTTTTCCATAAAAAATCTTGCATATCTTTCTCAGATTTATTCTTAAATACTGTATGTATAGATAACGTTTTGTTATGGAAAACTTCAAATATATATAAAAGTACACCAAATTGTAAGAAGGGATTGGCAAATTAAGGCCCATGAGTTGGCCCCCTCACCTAGTTTTGTAAATAAACTGGAAAACAGGCACAGCTATTTGTTTACACATTATCTATGGCTAATTTTATGACCCAATGGCAGAGTCGAGGGGTTTCAATAGACACCGCATAACCAGCATCCCTAAAATATTTTCTCTCTGGTTGTCTACAGAAGAAAATTGCCAGCACCTGACATGAAATTGCTTGTACTCATCACCCAACTCTGTCAGCCATCTGTTATTTTTCCTGAAAGTTGACAATAATTCCTTACTATCACCTAATAGTCAATATCTAAATTTTCAATAGTTTGATAAAGATAATTATTTTATACTTTGTCTTTTTTTTAATTTATTTTTTTGGAATCTCTACACGCAATATGGGGCTTGACCTCATGACCCCAAGATCAAGAGTCTCATGCTTTTCCAATTGAGCTAGCCAGGCGCCCCTATACTTTGTCTTTTTAAAGACAAAGGGGCGGGGCGCCTGGGTGGCTTAGTCGGTTGAGCGTCCGACTTTCGCTTAGGTCATGATCTCGCGGTTTGTGGGTTCGAGCCCCGTTAGGTCATGATCTCGCGGTTTGTGGGTTCGAGCCCCGCGTCGGGCTCTGTGCTGACTGCCAGCTCAGAACCTGGAGCCTGTTTCAGTCTGTGACACCCTCTCTCTCTGACCCTCCCCTGCTCACGCTGTCTCTCTCTCTCTCCTAGAAATAAATAAAAATATTTAAAAAAAATAAATAAAAAAATAAAGACAAAGGGGCAGACAGAGAGGGGGACAGAGCATCTGAAGCAGGCTCTGCACTGACAGCAGAGAGCCCGATGTAGGGCCTGAACCCATGAACCAACTGTGAGATCATGACCTGAGCCAAAGCGAAGTCGGATGCATAACCGACTGAGCCACCCAGGTGCCCCTATTTTTGAAGAAGTTAGGTTGTTTGTCCTGTGGCTTACTGCATCTGCATTGTTTGGTGACAGCGATTCCTCTGTCTTCTGTATTTCCTGTGAACTGGTGGTTGAGTCTGGAGTTTTGATTGGGTTGGATTCACAATTTTTGGCCCAACTACTTTGTAGGTGGTAGTGTGTTTTTCAATCCAAAACCACATCATATCTGATTATACTACTTAGTACTTTTGGATTACATCATAAAATGGTAACTTTAAAAGTTGCAGTTTTGAACTGTGGCTGGTGGAAAAACATGCAATTGATTTTGCAGAAATCTTGCCGAACTCTTATTAATTCATATGACTTACCTATTAATTTTTTTCTTGCTTTAAAATTTTTCAGTATTTATTTATTTTTAAGACAGAGAGAGACAGAGCATGAGCGGGGGAGGGGCAGAGAGAGAGGGAGACACAGATTCCAAAGCAGGCTCCAGGCTCTGAGCTGTCAGAGCCTGAAACGGGGCTTGAACCCACAAACTGTGGATCATGACCTGAGCCGAAGTCGGATGTTTAACTGACAGAGCCACCCAAGTACCCCTAAGTTTTTGCTTTCTATGTAGACAATCATATCATCTGCAAATAATGACAGTTTTCTTCTTTCTTTGACAGTTTTTGTATACTCTCTGCCCTCTTCCTTACTGTGCTAGCTAAGACCTTGAGGGTAATGTTGAAAAGAAGATGCTAATATGGACCCTTGTGTTGTTCTGGACTTTACAGGGAATGTGGTCATCATCTCCCCAGAGATGATGTTTGCCATGTTTTTATATACATGCCCTTTATCAAATTAAGGAAGCTCTCTTCTGTTCCTTGTTTGCTCATTATTCTGAATGGATAGTACATTTGACCAAATGTGTTTTCTGCATTTTTTGAGATAATAATACGATTTTTATTCTCTAATTTATTATTGTAGTAAGCTTAATGATTTGGGCTTAATGTTTTTTAAAAATTTTCTTAAATTTATTTATTATTGAGAGACAGAGACAGAGCATGAACAGAGGAGGTGCAGAGAGAGAGAGAAGGAGACACAGAATCGGAAGCAGGCTCCAGGCTCTGAGCTGTCAGCACAGAGCCCGACGCAGAGCCCAAACCCACGAATCATGAGATCATGACCTGAGCCAAAGTCAGACGCTCACCCTACTGAGCCACCCAGACGCCCCATCTAGATACTGAGTTTTAAATTCTGACAATCATTATATTTTTATTTCCAGAAGTTGTGTTTGGTTCCCAATAAGATCTGTTATTGTTTAATATGGTTTTCCCTTTCACTCATATGTTTGGCTCCTTCTTCTATTTTGTTAAACATAGTACACATATTCTGTATTCTAGTCTGATAAATCCAGGATCTAAAGCTCTTTGCTCGGTAGATTCAGCTGCCTGTTGTCCAGCCTCATAATGCTGGTGTACAGACCCCTGAGACAAGGACCAGTCAAAAAGTTTTAAGCCAGGGAAGGCTATTCTTAAAATCTTTCCTGCTTTCCTTCCCAGATGTCCTGTTTTCTCCCCTCCCCCCACTTTTTCTCAATTTACTTTTTTGAAAGGCTGATTCATTCTCATGGTTTAAAAAAAAAAAGTGAAAAGTTTCCTTCCAGCTCCCTGTCCCTTTCCTACCGGCAGCCTCTGTTTTTAGGTTTGTTTTTAGGTTTAGGATACTTCCAGAGATATTTCATGCAGATTCAAGCAAATACAACTTTAAAAATTCTTTTTTAACGCAAATGGTAGCACACTACACATATTGTTCTAAACTCGCTTTTTTATTTAAAACTTATGTTTCTGATTATAAAAGAAATACGTGCTCATTTTGAATCACATAAATACCCAAGTGTCTACAAGCAGAAAGTGAAAGTCCCTCTAGAATTTCATTCCCCAGAGATAACCTCCATTATGCGTCTATAAATATATATTTACATAAATGGGCTTATGCAATAGATACTGCTCTGTAACCTATTTTTTTGTTCTCCAAATAATATGTCTTGACATCTTTCCGTGAATCTTCCCACGTTTGTCAGTGCTGTCCACACAGCGCAGCCATTCAGTGCCTGGGCTTGAGTGAGACAGAAGTAGGCTCTAATCCTAGTTCTGCGGCTTAGTAGCTGTGGGACTTTTCATATCCTCTCTGACCCTCAGTTTTCCTCCTCTGTAAAATGGGGATCGAAATAGTACACACCTACTGGTGTTGATCCGAGACCTTAGTAAGATTATGTGTGATGTGCTTTCTTCAGTCTCTGATGAATGGTAGTTTTTATTATGACTCGTTTTTTTTTTTTAATGTTTATTTTTGAGAGAGAGAGAGAGAGAGAGAGCTCGCCAGGGGAGGAGCAGAGAGAGGGGGGGTCAGAGGGACCAAAGCAGCTTGAACTCAAACCGTGAGATCATGATTTGAGCTGAAGTCAGATGCTTAACCGACTGAGACACCCAGGCGCCCATGACTCCCTCTTTTTAATGGCCGCTTAGAATCCATAGTATGCTCTATCACGGTCTATTAACCATTTCCCCTTTTGATGGACATTGCTGGGTACTCATTGGGGGTTTTGCTTGTTTGTTTTTTGCTAATCCAGTGAACACTGAACATCTTTCACACCTTTTGTGTGTGTGTCTTCTTGTGAATTACCTACAGTGGGGTCACTGGTCCTCTGAATCCTAATCTCTGCATCTTTTCTCTCCAAGGAGGAAATGAAAATGCCCCATGGGGTGAAGCATGTGTGTTATGTAGGTTTTTGCATTTTATTACCACTCTTCTTCCTCTCCTCGCATCTGGTGGGGTGGGAGGGGTCCTCCACAGTAGAGGCAGTCCCAGCCCCCCTGGCCTGCTCTTCTCCAGAGCACAGTAGTGCTCCCCATTCCCTGTGATGCTGAACCCCAGACATCCAGTATCCCCCACACTTCGGAACCTGGCCATTCGTGATAATTCATTCAGAGATTAGATTTCAGCCGCATCTACTTTTACAGTAGTTCTCCGTGGTTTGCAATAAGTTAAAAGAATCTAACCTACTTGTAATGGGATAAAGGCCTAAAGTAAGAAAGAAAAGGGGGGAAAAAGGAGAAATTTTGGTATGACAGCCTCTCATTCTACCAATCCTGGAAAGGTAGAGCTGCTGGACCCAAAGTTAATGCTGAGCTTCCTGGCAGCCAAAGTAAAAAGGGGAACAAGATAGATTCTATAGCTCATAAGAAGCCCAAAATCCATTTTGCACCTTGAGATACTCATAAAGGGCTGGAGCTGAGAGGGGAAGGTGAGACGATAGAATGAAGACAGACTCTTCTCCTGGGACAGAGGCCGTGCAGTCAGCAAAACATTTCTTGAATGCTACTTTAGGCCTTTTCTAGGCATTGGGACCAGGACATACATAGTCTCTGTCCTCATGTTCTCCTATGGCGCAGTGGGGGAGAGTGACATTAAAGAATTGCAGGTGAAGTGGGTGCTCCAAAGGGCCTGCACTGCTCAGCTCTCAAGTGCTTTTCTTCCCCGGCAGCTTGGTTCCGGGGTGCTGATCCGCCTCCTGGGGGCCATCAGCTGTGGTCAGGCAGGGGGGCCACAGCACCCCAAGCTGGAGGCTCTGGAGAACATGATGGAGGTCAGTGTGGTCTCACCTGTCCCAAGGTCCAGAAGGAAGGAAAGGCCTGTGGCTCATGGCCCCACTGGATGCCAGGTACGGAACAGGTTCTTTTCTTTTTTTTTTAAGTTTATTTTTGAGAGAGATAGAGACAGAATGCGAGTGGGTTGCAGGCAGAGAGCGAAGGAGACACAGAATCTGAAACAAGCTCCAGGCTCCAAGCTGTCAGCACAGAGCCCGACGTGGGGCTCGAACCTACAAACCGCGAGATCATGACCTGAGCTGACGTCGGATGCTTAACTGACTGAGCCAGTTGGGCGCCCCAGAACAGGGTCTTTGCATAGGCAATGTTACCTAAACCCTGCCGAGGGAGACACTTGCATACCTGCTTCACGGAGATGGCCCTGCCTCCCACACAGGTGATGTGACTTGCTCCGGGGCACACAGAACATACTAGCCAGAGACAGGTGTGAGCCCCACTTGGCTGGCTGGGGGGGAGGTGCGCTGTCTGCTCTTTCTCCTGCGCCACTGAGTTCAGGAGTGTGACTAGAGCAAGGCAGGGGCTGAGCCTCCAGGGCATTTTGGAGAGGGGACAGTCGCTGACCTTTGTTCCTGGCCAACCAGCGGATCTTGCCATCCTAAGGTCTTCTAGCCCCCTCAGGAAAGACAGCATGGGCTTCTGGTGGCCTCTGACCTCTTCTGCCATCTGAGGAGTCACTCCTTTCCCCTCAGGGGATTCCCCCCCTTCTCCATGTCCTCTTTCTCTTGCAGGAGGGGGCTCCTGTCCCCTGTGCCAAATGGCCGGGGTGAGTGCTCCTTCCCCTGCCCACGGGGAGCACAGGTCAGGGAGAAGGTGGGGAGGCGGTTGGGGGAGCAGTGGCCCCTGGTGCCCGGAGGCTGCTCCCAGAGTGTGGCCTCAGGTCCTCTTCTGTGTCCCCTCCAGGGCGTCCCAGGGGAGCCTCAAGTGGAGGAGCCCGGGGAACAAGGGGAACAAGACCCGGGAGAGGACTCAGGTGAGGGGCCTCAGCAGCTGCCCGTCTTGCAGGGACTGCTGGGAAGTGGGCGGGGCCCCAGCCCCTGCTAGGACTCTTCCCTCACACCCCTGCCCCTCCTCCCATCAACCTGAGTCCTTTGCCAGAGGGGTGGAGGCTGCTGGCTGCCTGGGATAGGATCCGAGACATCTCAGGTCCCTGAGACTGAGGGTCATCTCGCCCCCTCCCCTTGCTCCTCGGCATCCCACGGGAGTTCGTGACTCTCTTTCCCCACAGCTCAGCTTCAGCCCCAACAGGAGAAGCTATCTCCGGATATCGGGGTACGGAGCACTGTGGTGCATGCCATGCAGGAGGTGCTGTGGAATCGGTAAGGCCTCGCTCCCCACTCCCCTGACTTCCACGACATCGTCACAGCTGTCCTCACCTCCCAGGGCCATGCCATGTTCCCCCGGCTTCTAAATATCCGACTAACCCCCTGTTGTAGCAGTGAGGTCACCTGCCGGTGCAGCGAGCCGGCGGAGAGCTGATGCTTGAACCTGAGTCTCTCTGGCTTCAAGGTCATGCTCTCCCATAAAACCACGGCTGCTGCTCACGTCCTTGTGGGTGTCACCCACAGCGAATGCTTCCAGATACAGTGAGCCTGTGTTGGGAGCATCTCAGAGATCTGAGTCCAGAGCTCTCATTTACAGTGGCGAGACCAAGGCTCAGAGAGGGTAGAACTTTGCCAAGGCCATACAGCAAGTCCGTGGTGGAGTCGATGTTCTGTTCAGGCCCAGGGCTCTGTCCCCTGCCTGACGGATGCTTTACCCTTCCCCCCAGGCTTCCTCCATCCCAGTTGCACTGGGCCAACGATGGAGATTGGGCTGAGCAGTCAGATCTTGCTTTGCCACTGGTCATGTGGCCTTGGGCAAGCCACATATGTTCTCTGAGCTTCACTCACCCCATCTGTAAATGGAGAACGATAGTATTGCTTCCTCGCGGGGTGGGGGTGAGAATAAACGTGTGCACATGGGGAAATGACCAGAATGGAAAGTGCAGTTGGTCCAGACCCTCTGCTCCATCCTCTCCTCACGGGCTCAGAGCCGTGGTCTCCGCCCTTGGCCTCCCGCAGCCTGCAGGAGCTCCCAGACCTGGCGCTGAGTGAGGAGGCGGTGGAGGGCATCGCTGCCGGCATCGAGACAGCCCTCTTCGACCTGACCCAAGCCACCAACTGCCGCTACAAGACCAAGTACCGGAGCCTGCTGTTCAACCTGCGTGACCCCCGCAATCCGGTGCGCTGCGCTTCGGGCTAGGCCACGCCCTCCCTCGGAGGCTTGAAGCCCCCTTGGCAGGATGTTGGGGTGGGGGGGCTTCCGGAGCAGTGTGGTGCAGCTCCCACGCCTGTCCCTGCAGGACCTGTTTCTCAAAGTGGTTCAGGGAGATGTCACCCCCCACGGCCTGGTGCGGATGAGCTCAACCCAACTGGCCCCCCAAGAGCTGGCCCGCTGGCGGGACCAGGAGGAGAAAAGGGTGAGCTGTTGGGTGAAGGCAGGATAGGTGATGTGGGAGGGACATGGTGAGATATGGAGGGCACGAGACAGAGAGAAACAGAAAGGAGGAAGTGGAAAGCAGGCAGCAGGGAGAGTCAGAGAGACTCTCTCCACCAAAAACAAAACAAAACAAAAAACCAAGGAAAAGAGGCAGAAACGGAAAGGGGTTGGGGATGGAAAGCTTGGTAAGGTGATACCCTGAGAGGTGTCATCTTCTGCTTGCTTTTCTGTGGAGCTGGGGGCAGGGGTGGGGGTACTGGGGATGATGGTCCGAAGTCTGGAGTCCAGGATTGTCATCCGCCATAGATGGGGGTAGACCCTCTGGGCTTCCTCTGTTTCCATCTCAGCCTCAGAAGCCCCAGAAAAGGCTGGAAGTCTTCCTGGTGCCCCAGGCTGGGTGAGGGACCCCACAGCCCTCGCGCTTCACAGTCATGTCCCCGTACACCCTGTGTCCGTGTGTCTCTTCCTTCCTGGGGACTGCTCAGGGACAGGGAAGGTGTGGGCACTGAGTTGGCTTTGGGGGATGCTTGCCCAATGCTTGCTGGTGGCCCGTGAGAGAGAGGGAGCTGATCTAGGGAGTAGGCCAGTGGGGTGGAGTGGGGTACTGAGGCCCCTGTTCTGGAAGACACTGGGCTGATTAGATTCACCTAGAATCCACTGGGTGACTCTGTCCACTATAGGCTGAGCTTCTGTGCAGGAGCCGGGGGGGGGGGGGGGACCAGGAGCACGAACAGCTACATACCTCATAGGGGGGAGTCCAAAACAAAAGCGTGTGCCTTTTGCTCAACGACTATGAAGAATTTCAAGATGGCGGCCGCACGACATATGGGGCCCCACTGATGTGCAGTGCCCTCTGCAACAGCATGGAGCCCTCGCCCATGAAGCCAGCCCTGCCAGGGAGGATGGGACGTCCTCCAGGCCTCCAGGACACATTTCAGAGAGGATGACACTGATCAGCAATAAGAATGACAGGCAGCATTTACTGTGAGCCCGGCTCCAGCCGAGCGTTCTACATACAGTTTAACTTAATGCTCTTAATTCAATTCCTAGAAAACAGAGAAATGGAGGCTCAGAGCAGTGAAGTGCTTGCCCAAGGCCGCGCTACCTTGAGGGTTTCTAGTAACGACCCAGCTGGCGCCCCAGAGCCTGCACTCTTTGGACTGCACTAAACTCTTCCCGGGACAGAGGCTGGGGTCCAGTGGGAGGCAGCATGGACTTATGCAAGGGGGCGAAGTTCGGGAAGGCTTGCTGGAGGAGGCAGGGCTTGAGCTTGGAGGGTGGATGAGTGGAATACGGGAGCAGTAGGGCTGAGGGCAGAGGGCCCGTTAGGGAAGGGAGACGGTGGAAGCAGAAACGTGAAGGCAGAGGAAGAGGAACCACAGGAGAGGGGCCACATGGGAGGAATGTGAACACCTGGGCTGTTGGTGGCCCGAGACCCCCCTGACCTGGCTGCGTTTGGGTGGCTTGGCCCCTGCCAGGGCCTGGAGATCATTGAGCAACAGCAGAAGGAGCCGTGCAGCCTCCCGGCCTTCAAACTGACCCACAAGGGTGAAGTCGAGATCGTGCGGGACGTGGACCAGACGCTGACCCTAGAAGATCTGATGGTAAGTGACAGATGTGGTGCTGATGGGGCTCATGGCCAGGGTCCCGCGGCTCACCTCAGCGGCTGGGGGGCCTTGAGCAAGTCACCTGACTACTGTGAGGCCCAGGGTCTGCTGTGAACGAGGCGATGATGGTTGCCGCAGCCCCGCGGGGGCGGACCTGTCTGTGCCTTCTCGGCGCCGATCCCCTCCTTCTGGCCTAACGCAGGTGGTGGTAGGTCTTACCCTGCAGCTTCCCCCAGCCTCAGCCTTTCCCACCAGATCCCTGGTTGGGAAGCAGGAGGGCCACACTGAGGCGGTGACGGTTTTTGGATGTGAGGAACAGAGCCCTACTCTCTGGTGGCGTGGTGGGGCTTAGAGGTGCTCTGGGCCGGCAGAGACCCCGCCTGGAGCCCCTCTTGTCACCGGGGATCTGCTCCGTCCTCAGGTCCCTCCTGCTCCTTCCTCCCCATTGTCCCCCATCTTACATGTGGCCTGACATGGTGGCTCAGCAGCCCTCAAATCAATGAGCTCATCAGCTCAGCCCCCCGCAGACAACTGGAAGTCCCCCTTGGCTTAGTTCAGCCACTCTCGGGAGACCTCTGTGCTCTGCCTGGGTGTCCAGTGGGTCAGAGGTTCACCCGACTCTAATCAGCTACATGTCCAGGATGGACACTGCGGGCCCCTAGAGCCACGTTCACTGGGGAAATGGCAGTGAACATGACAGATGAAAATTCCTGCTCCCCCACACTCTGCACACAGTAACCAGGACAGCCTCCAGAACGGCAGCCTGTGCAGGAAGTAGCCTGTGTCCCCTGAACAAACTGAACACAAGCATAGAGGGAGGAACTAGAAGACCCAGAAAGAAGTCCTCACTGGGGAGAGAAGGGCAGAGTAGGGGAGGGGAGAATAGCACATAATCACATCTTACTCCTTATCGGGCGCCTGCTAAGTGGCCATTTTACACACAGCCTCATTCAGACCTCACAGTGACCCACAGGGTAGATGATTCCAGCTTCCTGGATAAGGAACCTGAAGCCCTTTGCCCAAGGTCACTTAGTTGGTCATGGGATTGCTTAGTTGGTCATGGGGGAGCTGTGATTTGAAGCTGACTCCAAAGCCTGTGCCTTGGTGCTACTCTTGAGGCAAGAAGAGAGTTTAAAAATCTTTAAAAATCTTCCTAAAGAAATGTTGCTGTGTGTTTTTTAATTTTTTTAATGTTTATTCATTTTTTGAGAGGCAGAGTGAGTGGGGGAGGGACAGAGAGAGAGAGAGAGAGAGAGAGAGAATCCGAAACAGGGTCCAGGCTCTGAGCCATCAGCACAGAGCCTGACGTGGGGCTCGAACCCACAAACCGTGAGATCATGACCTGAGCTGAAGTTGGCCACTTAACCAACTGGGCCACCCACGTGCCCCAACGCAATGGTTATTATTTTTTTAAAGCTATTTCCATTATGAGGGACAAAGGTGATTTAGCAGTGGGCATTGAAAGTCTTTAAAATGTTCATTCTCCCTGATTCTGACCCCTGCTTCTAAGACCTTGTCCTAAGGACATAGTTGAAAGTTTAGGAAAATACTTTCTGCCTGAGGATGTCCTCAGTACTCTTTGCAGTGGTGAAGATCTGGGGACGACCCCACCATCCACTGTGCACGACAGTCCACGGTGTGTAGGGTCCCTGTGTCTACGGCCGGCATCTCCGTTATAATTCATGGACACGGTGAGAATGTAGGGTGAATAGTTGATCCCAGCCATTTTAGTCAAAGAACCCCCAAAGCCCTGTGTATAGAAAAGCTGTTCCAAAGAGGGGCGCCTGGGTGGCTTAGTCGGTTAAGCCTCCGACTTTCGCTTAGGTCATGATCTCGCAGTTTGTGGGTTTGAGCCCCGCGTCGGGCTCTGTGCTGACTGCCAGCTCAGAGCCTGGAGCCTGTTTCAAAGTCTGTATCTCCCTCTCTCTCTGACCCTCCCCTGTTCACGCTGTCTCTCTCTATCCTAGAAATAAATAAAAATATTAAAAAAAAAAAAAAAGAAAAATTGTTCCAAAGAATACCCAGGATACCAGCTACTGTCTCTGACTAGTGGGACAAGAGGTGATTTGGGGGTAATTTCAAATTTTCTTTAACAAGTTCATAGCACCTTTGTAACAAAAGAACGTATTATTTGGAAAAATGAAACCATATCCTTGGGGCTCCCTGGTCATAGAGGCTGGCTTCCCTAGTGCCTTCCCAGCCCACCCCTCTCTCTCCTCCTGTGCCTCCTAGGGACCCATGGTGTCCGTAGATGGTAGCCCACTGGCCCTGCCTGCGACATCAGAGGACACCACGAAGCAGCGAGAGGACACCACGGAGCAGCACGAGCACCATTTCTTGGACCCCAGCTGCCACATCTGCATGGGTGGGGGGTGGGGGGCACAGGACGGGTGCAGGGGTGGAGGGCAGGCTGGGGCTGAGCGTGGGCTCAGCAGGAACAGGACCTTGTGGCCTGGGGAGAAGGCGGAGGCGGGGCGGGGGGCATATCTGTGTCCCAGGTCACATCGAAAAGAACCTGGTTCGAAAGCCCTCGGCTGGCTTCCTGTAGCCGCCGCCTCCGGCTTCAGCTTCCGCCCCTGCTTTCTGTAGACTGGAAGCCCTCGTGTGAGCTGCCAGGCTCCTCCAAAGCCACTAGGAGGACAGGGGACAGTGTCCTCCAGAGAGCCCCGAGCCCAACCCTCGTGTCCTTGCCAGCGATGCCCCAAACCAGGGAGAAGCCTCCCACGCAGCTCCAGGACAGGTGTGGGGCTGGGAGACGGTCAGCCGGGGGGAGGCCACCTGCTTGGGAGGCAGACACAGCATGGACTTTTCTTTCTGTAACGACCTTGGGCAAATCCTGCTTCTGCCGTGGGGCTCAGTTTCCTCCTCCGCACAGTGGAATCAGTCATTGCCGTCTGCTGGTTCCCCCTCACAAGGCCATGTGTTCACTGGGAACACAGGACCTTCTCTGAAAAGTAGGGAGACGCTGAGGGATGTCCTGATAACCTGCTCTGCCTGTCCCCGTCTCTCCGTCCTCTCTCTCTAGGCCCCAGATGCCTGCTGGGCCCACAAAGGCTCTGCCCAGCCCCCCGCCCTGGGAGGGAGCACTGGACATGTTCTCCATCAAGCGGTTCAGGGCCAAGGCCCAGCTGGTTTCTGGAAACAGCCGTCGGCTCCTTACGGTACTCCAGTCCTGCTTGCCAGGGTCTCCCTCACACCCTGGCCAGCCCGGTCAGCTACCCACACCCCCTTGCATTCATTCATTCATTCATTCATTCACTCCCTCATTCTAAAACAAGGCATTGGGACCCTCTCTGTGCCTGGCCCTGTGCAAGGCCTGGGGCAGATGAGATGCCAGCCCCACTCCTGCAGACACACACATGGGTCAAGGACTCCATGTAACCCAAGGCATAATGCAAGAGGGCCCTGGGAGAAGAGTTGGTCTGGTGCCTCCCTGATCCAGGGGAGGGTTTTACGAGTGGTTGTTGAGTGACTGAATGATCAGTTGAACCACTAAATGTGGGTGGGAGGTTCAAGGAGGGAGGAAGGGGCTCCTGGGGAGCTCTAGGAGCCTGGCGGGCTGGGCTGGAGGCTTCCAGGGGCAGTCGGGGCTTCCTGGGCAGCCACTGACCTTCTCGGGGTCCCGTTATACTGCCCGTCCGTCCTCTTTCCTGAAGGCTGTGGCTTCGCGGTGGCTGGTGTTGAGTGTGCCCAAAGTGGGTGGGAAGCTGGGGGGTGGGGGGCTGACTGGCCATCCTACCTGCCCCCAGGCCCTGCCCGAGGTGATCCGTTCGGCAGGCTGCATCCCCTCCAATACTGTCTGGGAGCTTTTGGCCAGCATCTGCCCAGCGGAGGCCAAGGTAACTGCCGTCCTGGGCCGCCCCCTCCCTCTAGCCCAGGACCCCTGGCCCTGTGCTCCCTCTGTCTCCTCCTCTGGAGCAGGGGCCCGGCTCAGGGCGTCTGGGTCTCGTCCCCACTATAACTGTAGAGGCTCTGTGACCCTGGGCACGTCTCTCTGGCTCCTCCTCTGGGGAGTGGGGACACATCCTCAGGGGGGTCTCAGGGGCTTGGATGAGACCAGGGGTGTTCTCAGGGCGGGAAGGAGGGCTGCCCTCAGGGCCGCCCTCCTTCCTGCATCTGTAGGACATCTGCGTGGTCAGGCTGTGCCCGCACGGGGCCCGGGACACCCAGAACTGCCGCCTGCTCTACTCCTACCTCAACAATAAGCAGCGCCACGGCCTGGCGGCCGTGCAACACGTGGGCGTGGTCTTGCTGCCCCTGCCCGCCTTCCAGCCCCTGCCCACCAGACTGCGCCCTCTGGGAGGCCCCGGTGAGCGCTCCGACGCCCCTGCGGGGCCCTGCCTCCCCTCACCTGGGACCAGACGGGACACTGTTGACAGTCACCCCCGTGGCCACGGAGGCAGGCCACATCTCAGAAGGGAACCCCTGGGACGGACACGCGGGGCAACAAGAATAGGCATACGTTGCTTACTGTGTGCCCGGCGGTCTCCTAAAGCTGTACTTACACTAAATCATTTAGTTCTCACGGGAACCCCATCAGAATGGTACCGTCAGTCTGTGATTTCACAGATTAGGAAACTGAGGTAGGGAGAAAGCAAGTGACCTGTCCAGAGTCACACAGCCTGTCAGGAACAGAGCCGGGCTTCACACCCACGCAGCCTGGCTGCGGAACCTGGGCTCCTGGCCTCCCCCCCCCCCCCACACTGCCCCTTCGACGAGGTGACCTGAACAGACACTCACGGGACAGCCACATTTAGGCAGACACAGCAGGACAGAGGCAGGACCCACAGACAGGCGACTGAAAGCATCACCTAAGGCAGGACAGGAAGGAAGGATGTTTTCACCACCACTATCCCCGGCCAAGGTTGGCCTTGGTGCCCAGGAGGGTCTCTCTGGGGCGTGGCTCCAGGAAAGCACCTGGGGTGGGGGAGGGGGCTCAACGGGCACGCTGTCCCCAGCCTTTCTGGGCTGCCTGTCCTGGGGACAGTGTGGTAGTCCGAGTCCGTACAGTCTTGAGGTCAAACCACTGAGTGCCCCACCCTCAGGCAGGTGAGCCCCTTCCGGTGCTGAAAGTGACGCTCCCGAGACACGCGTAGCCTCCTCCGTACTGTGCGCAGCCTCTCACGGAGATGGACCCCCATCTCTGGGCTGGAAAGCTCTTCTTGGGGCCTGACTGTCGACCTCCTGCTGCAGCTTCTAGGCACAGTGTGTTCTCTCCCCCCAGGCCTCTGGTCTCTCGGCTTCCTCTTTCCCCAGGCCTGGAAGCCACTCACTCAAGCCTGGTGCTGGCTGTGCTGCTCCCCAAGGCAGGGCTCCCAGATACAGCAGAGTCCAGACCTCTGTGGGGGAAGGTTCAGAAGATGGTCTCCTTCAACAGAAAAGTGGAGATGAGATGCTACCAGCCAGAGCGCAGGAGTCCCGACGCGGCCCCGAAGGAGTCCCCTCCCCCACGGGGCACGCTGCAGCAGAGCCAGGGCAAGAGCAGCCTGGCTCCAAGGGGAATCTGTGCTTGGCGGAGGCCACCCAGAGGCAGGGGGAGACTGCGGGGGGAGCCTGAGACCTGGCAGAGTGCAGGGCGCGGGCAGTGGGCCCCCAAGCCAGGCCAGTGCCAATCCGGGCATCCCTATTCAGCAGTACCATCTGGCCACGGCTGGCACCTCCATAGGGCCTCCTGTCCCCACCAGGCCCTGCTCCAGCATCTTGAATCCCTGGTGTCCATGAGCCACCAGCTCCAAGCCTCACTGAGGTCCCCAGGCCAGGAGACGCTTCCCTCAGCTCCTGCCCCGTCTCCTGCTGCCCCGGGAATTCTTGGCCTACTGTGTCGGCTGCCTACAGCCATAGAGACCCCTAGCCCAGCTCCTGACTCTTCGGGTACCCCAGATGGAGCTGGCTCTGAGTGTTCCTTCCCCGGAGAGACCTGACCCCCGTTACCCACCGGAAGAGAGCCTTTGATTCCTTCCCCAGGGCTGAATCCTGAGCTGTTCCCGGGAGAGAGGGGCAGAGGAAGGGGAGGGTGGGCTATTTTGAGTTTCCTCTTCTGCAGTCTGCTTGGTGTTGGTTTTTGGTTCAATAAAGAGTTTGGCAAAGGTGAGATTGCATCTGCTGGCTGGTCGGGAGGGACTCTGGGGCCCGGCCAGGTGTGGGTCGGGGTAGGTGTGTCTGAGTTTCTGGACACGGATGTAGCAGAGCTAACGTGCCAGGGAGGGAGAGGCAGCCGTACCAGCTGCGTGTCTTGAGATCCTGAACCATCACTTGTGCCCCTGGACACAGCTGTTGCCGTGGTGGGTTCTCGAAGTATTCTGCAAGTGTTCTGAACCCGGAGGAAGAAGCAATGGGGGAGAGGGCAGGATCAGGGTGGGGGAGAGAGAAAGGAGGCATCGCATCTAGAGATAGGGAGGAAAAGGAAAGCAAGTTGCAATGGTTTTTAAATTTTATAGTTACCAAAAAAATATTTTTTTCAGTTACCAGGATTTTTTTCATTTGGACAGTTGGGTGCCACCATATTCCCTATGCATCTCTGTCTGTGTGCATCTGTGAGTGTCTTTATGTGTGCATTTGCCTGTGAGCGTGTGTGTGTCTGATTGCACGTTTGTGTGTGTCCCTGTTGGGTAAGTTGGGAGATCCATGTAGGATGACTCTTCTCTGTGCCTCTTGCTAGCTCCCAGAGACGGGTTCAGGAGAAAGCCCAGGGTCTTGGCCTGAGAGCAGAGGGGGCTGGGCTTTCAGGGTGGGGTTGGAAGCTGGTGTTAGGGCTGGATGGTGCTGCTTTGCCTGGGGCCTGGAATGAGACCCTACCAGCAGCTGCAATTGTGAAGCATCTCTGGGAGAACGGAGTCTGGGGACCTATCTGGACACTAGCTGCCCCCTGGCCACTTAACCCAGTGCAAAGAGGCAGGGCCTGGCTTAGGGGAGAGAACTTCTGGCAGGACCCCTCCGTCCTCGACCCCTTCCCCCGCCCTTAAGGAGTGTACCCTCTGGAAGTGTCCCCACGCACCAGCCTCGCTCAGGACCGGGCTGGACTGGGAAGGATGGGGCTTTGGTTGGTTGGGGGCACCCCTCTTCTCTGCCCCATGAGCTCTGCTGCTGCCCTACCCGCGGCCGACAGCAGAGGGGGCCCTCGGCCTAGGGATGGAGGTCGGGGCTCGCAGGACAGGAGGAAGAGCTGGGGGCGGGGTGAGGTATGGAATTTTAGCGGGAGGGACTGGAAGAGGGGCCCGGGGTGTGGTGCGAGGGGAGGTGTGGGAAGTACGGGGAAACGAGAAGGGACCGGACGTGTGAACCGGGGAGGGGGCGGGGCGAACTTTACCGTCTCCGACCGGCTTGGCTTGTGAGCGCCGCAGCCTCCGTGCTACATGTAAATGACACAAATTACTATGCAACCTGCAGCTTGATTCTGAGTCGGCAACTTGGGTCATTTTCCTAACGCAGTTGGGGCAGGCCAAGGGGAAGACAGCTGTGAACTCCTTCCCCCCAGGCCCAGGGCTTCCTTCCAGGGAGACGGGAGAGCATTTGCTGCCTTCTCAGGTCACTCAGGGAAGGACAAGCTCTGGACTCTCGGCTGGGACTTCCTTTCGGAGAGTCAGTTTCCTCCCTGGCAGATGGGGGTGATGACGCGGCCCCATAGCACCTCACCCAGCGAAGAGGGCTAGAGGTGGACCGCGAAATCCTGCAACCTGCTTTGAGGCCGGGCGTCGGACAACACAACCTCCACCCACGTTTTGGCCCTAGTCCAAAAGCCCCTTCCTTCGCCTTTCTTTTGGCCCAGGAGGCCGGGAGCAAGGATTAGGCTAGCTGTTGCTAGGGGGCGTGGCCGGCGGTTGCTGGGCTCGAGGGACGTTACTGAGCAACGCTGGGCGGGGCTCACGTTGCTAGGCCTGAGTAGGAGTCCCCAGGGACCGGAAAGGCCACCCAGCTCCCCTCGGCTTCAGTGTAAGGCGCCCCACGAAACTGCTCTCTCGCGACTTTCTCCGGGCCTCAGCTTCCCTTGGGCTGGACGCAGTTTCTGAGGGTCCTTCCGGTTCACACCCTCCGAGACTCCGTGATCCTCTGGGCTGTGGAGCGAGGAACCCTGGGCCTTTGTGCACGTGTCTATACGCTCGCTGGTGCGGGGGGGGGGGGGGAGAGGGGGTCGCATTTGGGTTTCCATAGCAACCGCTCCTGTGTCATCCCATTTCTTCCAAAGGTTTGAGCGGTAGCGTGTACAAATTTACATATATCTGCATGTCATTAACATAGAGGCGGGGCCGGAACTTGTTTGGGCAACTATCCCTGGACAGTTCCCTTTGCTTCCTTTCTCATCCCGCCGGAGGGCCACGTGGGCAGCGCATGCGTGAGTGTTTTTTCTTGTTCCCAAAATTGGGGCGGATGGGTGATCTGCAATAGTGACCGATGGCTCGCCCCACCCCACCCCCCGCCCCGTCAAACATTAGCATGAATTCGTCCAGGTACCCTTGACCAAAGACCTTGACCAGCACCCCCAGGCAATGCCAGGCCTGGTTGGAATCCCAGTTCTGCCCTTTCCTTTCTGTGTGGCCTTGGACAAGTTTAGTTTAGTTCCCCCCTCTATGGCTTCCTTCTTTGTAAATAGGGATCTTAATCCCTAATTTATCAGGTGATGTGACTATTCAATGAGATGTCACTTTAGCAGACACTTACGCTGCTTCTGGCACACAGCAAGCCCTTAATGGTAGCTTCCACCCTCCTTCCATAGACCTCAGCTCCTCTCAGGACCCAACCAAAGCAAATCAACGTCCTCTGCAGCTCAAGACTTGACAACTAAACACCAAGAAGAACTTCCGGATGTCAGGATTCGAGGCAAAGGATGAGGACTATTGGTTTGTCTCTTTGTCCTTGGAGGCTGGAGGCCAGGTTGGTGAAGCATGGACCCCCATTCCCTACCCATCACCACAACCACACACTCATGCACACCCTTACACCCCTTTTCCTCTCAAGGACCAAGTGTTTCCAGAAACCGTGCATTTCTGTCTCAAACGTGCTGGAGCCCAATACCTCTGCAGCAGTGGCAGCTGAGTTGGAGAAGCTTAAAAACCAGAGCGAGGGAGGTGGTGACCAAGAAGGTCCCCTACAAGACCGAGATGTCCAGGGTGGATCAGGGTCTGGCCAGAGGCTGAGGGCAGAAACTTCGGGTGGAGAGTCAAACATCTGAGCCTTTACCAGAGAGAAGGCACCCCCTTGTCCTTTCTGTGCCTCAATGTCTCCACTGTGGACAATTGGGACTCCTCTGCTCAGACATGGGGCAAAAAAAAGGCAGAGGTTAGCTCGGGGTGAAGAGTCCTCACTGCTGTAGTTGTGTGGTAGTGCCATGGAGGTAGTGAGTTCCCTGTTGTCAGGGCTATGAAAGCAGAAGCTGAGCAGGACTGAGAGCATGGCTGGGAGGGAGCAGCAGATCTCCTCCTGGAATTTCTGGTTCTTGTTCGGACTCTCGTTGCTCCGTACAGCCTCTTCAAAGGCTGGAAAGTCCTCCCGCGGTCTAAATTCAGCCTTTCCTCCTCTGGCTTTCTTGCCTCCCTTTCTCCCAGAGTCTCTGTAACCTTAACAGCCTTGACTGCCAGGGTCAGAGGGGAGGCAGAGGAGGTGTTAAAGGAGGAGAGCCAGTTCCACTCTGTGTTGGTCTCTTAGTTCTCAATTAGGTTCAGATAATTAAGATAAATGAGGTTGGCTCCTCTCCTGGGTAGACGAAGTTTGTTGGTGTTGGAGAGGGAGTGTAGGAGCTGGATTCTGATTGGTTGGTTGGCTTCCTGGAGGAGGTAGGATTACATAGGGGCTATACCCTACAGTTGTCACTCTGACCACTGTACGTGAGACTGCTGTCTGCCTGTGGTTGGCAGTGGGCCAACTCCTTCCCTTGCAGCCACCTGCGCTCCATAGGTAAGGGTTCCAGGGACAGGCTGAGAGCCTGGCAGTGCCCGGCTGGCCCGCTTGTGTCCCACTCTGGGGGCCAATTAAGTCTCCATCCCTAGCCGCGCCGATTAACAGTTAATAAGGCAGCAAACACCTGCAGCTACGGAGGCGAATTAAGAGCAACAGTCGGCATAATACACAACCCGATAAGTGAGCAATTAACAACCAGAGAAAGATTAATAGAAGCAATTACATCCTACTCGGAGCTCTGTAAATACGACTGTCAATGGCTGAGGGATTCAGTCCAGTCCCGCCCAGCCCCACCCCAGGCCACAGCTTCTGCAGGGAGGGGAGCCAGCCCAGCCAGCCTGTGGACTCCGGACCCCGGAGCCATAGGCACACGAGAAATGCACATATGTGCCAACATGCACATGGGCATATACAGACATACGTGTGTGGAGAGATGGTCCACAAGATGCAGGCACACGACACAGAAGTCCCCTACTGTCATCCACACTCACAAAAATGTGTACACAGAGATACACATAAGTTCTGCCAGAAATACACAGAGATCCAGAAAAATACCCAGAAAGAGACACTTGCGTATTTTACACAGAGCCGGAGCCACATAGACTACAAGACACACAGTGACACATGTACAAATTTGGACACATAGATAGACACAGCTACCTACTCATGGAGTCCCCGATATGTGTGGCCCTCCTTTGATGCCCACCTTGCAAAGGGTCATCCACAGAGAGCTGCAGCAGGAAATCGGACTGAGCACTGGAACAAGGGTGGGACGGGACAGAATGTGTGTGAACACACACACACGCAAGCATGTCTGCAAGCATGTAATAAGCGTGCATGTCCTTGCAACTCATGGCCATGTTCGTGTGTGTAAACAGGCATGCACCTTATATCTGTGTGCCTATATGAACGTTTGTGTGTCGTGGGTATATGTACATCTGCTGTGTCCCGTGGATCCGTGACTGTCACGTGGGCTTCTGGTTCACATGTGAACCTGTGCCAGTGTTCATGTCTGGGTAACTGTGTCACTACTTCAGAGTGGCTTTATGTGTGTCCTCTCTGAGCTGTGGCAGGTGAGGGGCTGTCCCCATGGGATGTTCCCCAGGGAGCCTGGGAGCTCTGATGGTACCTGAAACCCGGACCTACCTCTAGGAAACAGGGCTCTAGGACTCCTAGGGCTGACTCCCTTTCCCTTACGGG